TAATATTAAATAAAAAACAAATAATAATTAAACCGTGTAGAAAATTACATTGACCAATTAACAGATCGGTGTACGAAACAAAATCCAATCACAAAAACAATCCCAAACACAAAACACAATGTAATTGTACATTAGAATGCTATCTTCAGGCTTCTAAAAATAGTTGCATTCATTTATATTTACTAAATACATTCAGGGTGGCGTCAAGAATACCTTAGACTTCTCTTCGGAACTAAAATCTGATGAATGAAGATGTAATAATTCCAATTCAGCAGAATGCATGATAAATCGAAAAATAATGTTACACTAATAGAGATCCTTCATTCAATCGGATTCAATCTGGTGCAAATGATAACTGGCACCTGTTGAGCAGCAACTCTCATTGCGAACTCGTTGATAGACGATATGATGGTCGGTTGGCCTTGAATATCAGGATGTCGCAATATCTACCGCATATTACTTTGCACTGGCGGTTTAAATAGGACCACGTACAGTAACCATGAAGATGGACACGTGTCACATGCACAAGTATGTTTGCACTGAAAGCGGAAATTGTGTCCACATTCATGTTTAGGGCCGGAAAACACAATAACCGACGCACAGGAAAGGGACATGTGTTCCAAAAGTTATTTATTTATTAGGGTTATAGATATGTTAGTATTAAAGTTTCATCATAATTATTTTAAAAGACCTAAAATAATTTAATCCAAAAGTTAATTTTTATAAATAATTAGTTATTTTAATGGATGATATATTTATAAAAACCATCTGTATTGAATTTAAATAAGAAAAAAGTTCAAAAAATTAAAGAAATTGTTCCATTTTGAATTATTAAGTTCTTTAACCTTTTTGATTGAATAAGTTGTTGAACTCTTGTTATGTTGAATGATTAAGTTGTTGCATTTTTTTTAAATAACTAAATGATTCAGCTTTTTTGAAAATTGATTACTTAAATTGTTTTAAATTTTTTAAAATTGTATAATTTAAAATTTATTTTTATAAAATTACTTGAAAATTATGATCACTTTTACAACAAGTAGTATTTCAAATTTTTTGAGTTATTTTAATATTCTTAAAATGATGTAAATAAAAGATTGTGAATAAAGTAATATAAAAAACTTAATATCGTGCAATTCACAGAGTTATAGTTACTTATAAAAAAAATTCATTCTTAAATATATTTTTTCATTGATAAATCATCGAACTTTTGAAAATTGTTTACTTGTATCATTTCAATCCAAAAAAAATGCTACATATCATGAGTTGTTTGCCTCACAAATCAAATAAGTGGAAAAACGATTTTTAAGTCATCGTTTCCCCCATTTTTAATCTATTCAGATAGTTGTTAAATAAATCTTTTTTTAATACATAAGGATCTAATAATATTATTATTATATTGAGTTTAATATGTAATTTGATAATAAAAAATGTTGT